CCTGATGAAGTCAATGGCAAAACTCCGTAGACTTCAGTGAGGCCAAGATTTTCATCCCTAAAGCCAAGTTCATTTTCCTGGCACGTTGCTGTGACTATTGGCAGGTCTACACTATATTTTCAAGTTGACTTAAGCTATGTAATTTGAGTTATGTTAGTAGCATAACTCAAATTGACCTAGCTTACATCTACTTATGGGATCCATAACATGCTGGGTCAACCGAGGAAACTCTCCTGTCCACCCCCCTTACTCATCTCGTTCTGGTGGAGTACTGCAGTCGACAGGAGAATGATTAGGGGATGGTTTAGTGGGTCTTCACTGGACTCACTAAATTGACTCCAGTGAACCAGTTGCCACAGCATCAATCCATCCCATAGGGCAGGGGTCAGCAACCTTTCCAAAGTGGCATGCCAAGATTTAACCCTCCTGCCTGGGCCATGTTGCTCTCCCAGGAGAGGGAGAGGGGCTCTCTCCACCGTGCACCCCATGGACCACTTGAGTCAATGCAGACCTTTCCGCAGACTACCAGTCACTAATGGAAACTTACTGTTAATTACATAATTACACCCAAGCCATTTTGCTAGTGTTGCAGCTGGGGAGAATGTTTAAAATGAAAGTTGATAAACTAACATGAGAAGGTTAAAACGCTTAATCTATTTAATAATTTAAATTAAACCAAAGTAAAATATTATGTCCAATACAAAAGGTTTCAATGTTTTCTTTATGGCAGGGGAGGGGAACCTTTTTTGGGTCAGAGAGGTCAAAATCAGTTGGGGACCACACAAGTGAGAAGCAAAAAAAAGCTCCTCCCCAAATCCTCACTGATGTGGCCCCTAATTGAGACTCCTCACTCTTCCGGCACTCCAGCCCTTACGGGGTGAGGGGAAGGAACAGGGAAGAGTGAGCTTCAGGGCTTCTCATAGGCCAGATTTACTTTCCTGGGGTTCCAGAGTTAGTGGATTTTATGGAACCCCTTAGGCTCTCGGGTGGGAACAAAAATTAGGGGTTCAGTGTGCGGGACAGGGCTGCCAGCGAGTGGGATACAGATGCAGGATGGAGTGAGGAAGGCAGGGTCTAGAAGGGAGTTTGACGGCTGGAGAGGATGTGGGGTGGAGGTAAAAGAGGGAATTTGGAGGTGGGAGGGGGTTAGGGGAGTAACACAGAAAAGGTGAGAGGGTGAGAATGCAGCCAAATAGCTAGTTGGGGAAGGAGGCAGAGAAGTGGGAAGTAAAGGAAAGTGCAGCTTCTGCAAAGTAAAATTGTCTCCCTCCTCACGTTTTCCTTCTGCTTCAGCCTCACTCCCCTCAGGCCCATGATCCCTCCCAGCCTGATCCCCTACATCACACCATGCCCCTTGTGCACCTCCTGCTCCCACAGCCTGATTCCTTGCATTACCCCATGCCCCCTCAGTGCACCCCTGCACCTCTCATCCTCCCCTGCAGCCTGATCCCCTGGATTGCCCCATATCCTCTCCCATCCATCTCCTGCATCCTCCTCATCTCCCCCTTCCTGCTCTCACATCCCTGTGCCCCCAGCACACTCACCAGCAGGGCAGCAGCTCTGGGGCGAGAAGTGTGGGGGAGCAGAGTCTCTTCCCTGTCCAGACCAGCCCTTTGCCTGCACTCTGTGGTTCTGGGGCTGGGCTGGGCTAGGCAGAGCCCAGAGCTGTCCAGGGCTGGGTCCAGCCTGACCTGGTGCAGAGGGGTGCTGAGGAAGGGTCTCCCCCTCCCCCCCAGAGAGCAGCCCAGGCCCTGGCATGCCACATGCGACCAGCCACCCAGCCCTGGCTCTATGGAGCAGGCCTCGCCCCCTCCTGAAGCAAGAAGCCTGTAGCCAGGAAGTGGGGTGAAATTAACCCCTTAGCTCCTGGGAACTGCATGACTAGGGGCAGCCCCAGGGAAACGGGCTTGTGTGCCACTTGTTTCGTGTGTGCCTGGGGTTGCTAACCCCTGCCATAGTTGGTACAAACTCTGCCACCCTGCTTTTTTAACTCTCTCCTTTAGCTTCTTATTTTCCAACTTGTCAAGTGCAAACTTGCCATCTGCATTGTTAAAGTTCTTCATGTTTTAGGCTCCCTCCCCCATGCCTATCTGCTTTATTAACATACTGCAATGGATTTCAGCCTTTCCAAACTACTGTACCCTTTTCAGGGGTCTGATTTGTCTTACGTATCTCCATGTTTCACCTTATTTAAAAATTACTTGCTTATAAAATCAGCCATAAAAATACAAATGTCACAGCACACTGTTACTGAAAATTTGCTTCTTTTCTAATTTTCTCATTTAATTATAACATTAATCAATTGGAATATAAATACTGTGTTTATATTTCAGTATAATATATAGAGCAGTATAAACAAGTTATTGCATGAAATTTTAGTTTGTGCTGACTTTGCTAGTGCTTTTTATATAGCCTGTTGTAAAACTAAGCAAATATCTAGATGAGTTGGTGTACCCCTGGAAGACTTCTACATACCTCCAAGGAGGACCACTATCTTACTGTGAGATTGATCTCTGCCGCCACTCCACCAATCACAACAGCCTCAGTTGCATGCTTATGGCCAGGGCTCGCCAAGCCGCGGCAAACCCTGCTCGCCAGCCGTGCAGTTCAGCATGCTGCGTATGCACAGACCGTGCTGTGCATGTGCTGATCGTGGTGCCGTGCCGGGCTATAATCTACTCGCCCGTGGCGAGCAGATTACCTAAATTGTTGAGCCCTGCTTAGGTTACTTCCCATATGTTTTCCTCAATTCATCCCTTTACAATTAAGGACAAAACTCCCATACAGAATCTGTAAAGCAATCAAGTATACAGAAAAGTGATAGCTGCTTAGCACATGGTGAGTTGTGTTTACTACAGTTCACTGCAAATTAGGTACACAGTTTGTGCTAAAACAACATAGTATTTATTAGCCCATTTTCTTTCTCTTTCTGCATCCCCCATGTACTTATTTGTTTGGGGCAGGATCTGTGTGTGGAGTAGTCAATTTTTGTCCAATTTTCTTGGTCAAGGTATAGTCCAGACTGGAGAAACATTTTTCACGCTGCAGTAACAATTATAATAAGCAAATATTTTGTGGTCCGTTCAGAAGTGTCAGGTGGCCTGGATTTGGTCTTCAGTCCGCCTGTTGATTACATTTGGTTTAGGTATATTTGGTCATGCCTCAGCATTGGGATGGACTCGTTCTTTTGGGGTCCATTCCAACCTGTATTTTTATGAATCTGTGATTTCCCAGAAAAGAGAAGATATGGAAAACATGCTTTCCAGTAATAACTAGATGGAATAATGCATATTCATATTTCTTTATCCTTATATGGAGAGCAAAAATCAATTTTTCCTGCAGATCTTTGTCCTCACACTATGCACTATGGCTTTGTGGGTTGCTTAGTCACTTTCATCACAGTGAGTGTTGGAGGCAATTGCAGCCAAACAGACTCAAGGAGAAAGAAAATGTATTTGAAAAATTAGTCTTTTAGCCATAGTATATGCTCACTCATAAAAAATACTCAATAGTGGGGATTTTGCCTGAGTAAAAAGTGCAGTGTCCAACTTGTATTATGATTACAAAAGCTTCTGGATAGAAGAGAGGTTCTATGCATAATCTATCCTTCTGAATAAAAAATGCCAAAATGCTGAAAATTTATATTTGTCATGTTGTTGGTTTAATGCAGGCCTGGGCAAAATATATGGCCCTTGGGCCGGATCTGGCCCATCAAGCCACTGGATCTGGCCCACAGATGTAGTGGGGAGCCCCAGGCAGACTCCCTTGCTTGCCCTGCAGCCCCACACACCACCCAGAAAAGCATCATCTGGGTTGTTTCTCTTTCAAAACTGTGATCCTGAACTGAAGTGGGGGAAGGCTTCAGGCGCTGCCTCTGCCTCCAGTACAATCCCTTTGGCCAGTTACTGGCCAGAAACTGGTCAAAACTGCCTGTTTGAATAACAGGCAGCACATGAAGCACCATGCTCCCCTCCAGCTCAGTTACCCACACAAGCACATGGCCCTGCAGCATGGGCAGGCAGGCAGGCTGGCTGAGAAATCATAGAACACAAGATTTGGAAGGGGTCTCGAGAGATCATTGAGTCCAGTCCACTGCCCTCATGGCAGGACCCAGTACCATCTAGACCATTCTTGATAGATGTCTATCTAACCTATCAGGCTCTGCAGGCATTTTAAACTCTGCAAGCCTTTAGCTCTGCAGGCAGACAGCCTGGTTGGGCTGTTGGCTGGTAAGTCTCTTGGCTGGAGCCTGCCTCTGGTACCTCTGCCCCTCCCCCCCCCCACTCAACATACTCAAACCCTCTGCTCCCCTCTTGCACCCACATCTCTTCCCAGATCTGGCACCCCAGTCTCCTGCCCCAGATCACAGTCCCTAAGTCACAAACCAAACTCCTGCACCCCAATCCCCTGCCGTAGGTCACAACTGCCTCCTTCACCCAAACTCCCTCCCAGACCCCACCCTCCCTTCTGCACCCCAATCCGTTAGTCCAGGCTCCCTTCTGCATCCAACCTCCATTCCAGACCTCGCACTTCCTCCATTAATATCATGGAAGAGTGCAGCCCTTGATCACTTTCCAAAATCTTGGAGTGGCCTCCCATCAAAAATTATTGCCCACCCATGGTTTAATGTTTTGGTTTGTATACAGGGATAGGACAAGAGGTGAGTGTTCAGCTCCTATTTCTGTCTTCTAGAGGTATAAAATCCCAGTTAAAAAGTGAAGTGGTTAAATGTGATCCTGTGTTGTGTGGGCCTGGCTATGCTGGAGCAGCCCCCCTGCCTGCCTGGCCAGAGCAGGCCCCCACCAGCTAACTTGTTACCCCAGTAAGCATGCCAATAAGGGTAACCAGTTAACCCTTTATATCTCTATTATCTTCTGCACCATTTTCACATTTCTTTTGCAAGTGATCTTGAAAATACTCTCTTCTAAAATATTTCTATAATTGTAAGCATGGATCTCTGTTGAGAAATTTTATTAGTTTCACTTTTGCTGTTTCTGCAGGGCTTCAAGAATATATAGAGGCAGTGTCTTTCCAATATTTCATCAAAACACGATCATTAATTAGTGTTAAGGAGATCAACGAACAGTTAATATTTACAATGGAAGACAAAGAAGAAACAAACACGGTAAGAATTGTTTTGTTCACATGAGCTAGGTTTATCCATTTGTATTTTTAAACACTTCATACTTAGCATTTTTAATATATTTAACACCTTCTGATGGTCATTCCTATTTTTATTTATAGGAAGTAATCTTTTCATAAATACATAATTGTGATTTCCTTGGTAATATGACAGGGTAGACAAGTTTATTTGTGTTGTAATTATAGGCAGTCAGACATCAGAGGTCTTCACCCTACTGTAAGTTAGACATGGATAGTGCTGACAACATAATGGACTATTGAGGCTTAAAGTTAGAGAACAGTCAACTAGTCAAATAAGTTTGGTTATTGAGTATTTGGCCAAACCATGCGTCTCATGGATAGTAGAAATAATGTATATCTGTGGCGTAAGAACAGCCATATAGGGTCAAATCAAAGGTCCTTCTAGCCCAGTATCCTGTCTATCAACAGAGGCCAATACGAGATGCTTCAGAGGAAGGGAACACAACAAGTAATCATCACATGATCCCTCGCCTGTCACCCATTTCCAGACAGAGGCTAGGGACATCATTCCTATCCATCCTGGCTAATAGCCAGGGCTCGCCAAGCCGCGGGGAGCCCCGCTCGCCAGCCGCGCTGTCTGGCATTCTGCGCATGAGCAGATTGCCTGAACCCGGCTCTTCCGGGATGTAATCTACTCGCCATGAGCAAGTAGATTACATAGATTGTCGAGCCCTGCTAATAGCCATTGATGGACCTAACCTCCATGAATCTATCTAGCTCTATTTTGAACTCTGTTAAAGTCCTAGTCTTCACACCATCCTCTGGCAAGGAGTTCTACAGGTTGACTGTGTTCTGAGTGAAGAAAAACTACCTTTTGTTTGTTTTAAACCTGCTGCCTATTAATTTCATGTGGTGACCACTAGTTCTTATATTGTGGGAATCAGTAAATAACTTTTCCTTATTCACTCTTCTACAGCAGTCATTATTTTATAGACCTCTATCATATTCCCCCTTAGTCTCCTCTTTTCTAAGCTGAAAAGTCCCAAGTCTTTTTAATCTCTTTTCATATAGGACCCATTCTAAACTCCTAATCATTTTTGTTGCCCTTTTCTGAACCTTTTCCAATGCCAGTGTATTTTTTTGAGACCTGTCTTTTATTCATAGACCAGGCTAAGCCTTTTCCAATGGAAAAAATACCACCACATTAGCGTACTATTGGATAATTCTACAGGCACTTGTCTAAATTTTGTAATGCATATTGCCCACATGATTTTATCCAGTAGGTACTTGGATAAAACCCCATAACGATAAGGGTAGTATAAAAACCTAAATATAAAAGGCAAATGAATGTAAGGAGTACAGTGACTTCCACAATGCAGTCCCATTGCTCAACAATGAGCTCATTATAGCAAGCAACAGCAGACAGTGGTGAAAGGAAGGATGTTGCCCTCTGTCACAGTTTTATCAACTTGCAATTTTTTTACTTTGACCAGCTAATATTAAAATACGTGATCTGTGTTCTAGCAAGGCTACTGATATGTCATTTAGAATTAATCTTGAACTTCCCCCCAGAGGACAGACTAGCTTTCCTTCCACTCCTGTGCCTGATAAAGCATCTTCCATTTCTTGCTTGGCCATCTTTCTTATGCAGCCTCTGGATGAACAGTCCATTTTTTTAAATTCATATTTGGATGTAAAGTGGATCAGTGAGTACTTTTATGTAGGGATGTAAGCGACTAGTCGACTATCCGATAAGTATATGTTTATTGGATAGTTGACTAGTGACTCAACTAGTTGCCCCCCCACTGCCCCTCTGCCTCTATTTCAAAAGCAGAAGCACTGCGGAGAGCACAGGGTGAGCAGAAGACTCAAGCAGTCTCCCGCTGGTCCTGTGCTCCCTGTGTGCTTTGCTTTTGAAATGTGCAAGAGCCCTGGGATGCTTTTGTACATTTCAAAAGCAGGGAGAATGGGGCCAACGGAGTGCTGCTTGAGTCCCCGCTAGCTCCGTGCTCCCCATGGCACTTCTGCCTTTAAAATGTAGCAAGAGCCGGCGGGGCTCTTGCTGTATTTTAAAGGCAGAGGTACCCTTATCAATTAATCAAGTAGTCAATGGAAATTCCATCGACTATTGGATTAGTTGATTAATCTAAATTTAACATCCCTACTTTTATGTGGAATCTATAATGACGCCTTACTTGCTGTTCTAATGAAACATTTTCAGTTTTCCAAGAGAAAAATCTCAAATGACACTGTATGGAGATGGTCATACCAGTGGTCATCAGCATTGGTGACTTGAAAACCAATGAAATAGATGCAATTCCTCTCCAAATTAAAAAAAAAAAAAAAAAAAAAAAAAAAAGTCTTAAGCGATATTGGCATTACCTGCAGAAAGTGATCTCAGAACAAACCTGTTCAGTCAAAGTTAGTTGGTCAAAGGAAATTATCATTACTATGCAGATTAGGGATGTGAAAACAGGTTAACCAGTAAGAATCACCCTTAAAGGGTGATGCTTACTGGTTCTGGTTAACCAGTGGGGTCTGGAGCAGCTTCTTGCCTGACATGGGCAGTGGATTGCTCCAGCCCCGGGGGGATCCGCTGCAGATAGGGGCTAATTCGGGCATCCAGAGCAGCCCCCATCTGCGGTGGGCCTGAGTGGGCTGCAGGTAGGGGCTGCTCCAGCTGGGGTGGACGTCCCCCCTTTAATTGTATAACTGGTTAAACACCACTTGAAAGAGTTTATGACTCCTGCCCTAGTTGCAGGAAGAGAAACTGTTGCTAAATGCAGGACAATGTAGCACTTTAAAGAATTTTGCTTCAGCTACCCCAGACTAACACGGCTACATTTCTATCACTGTTGCTAAATGAGTGCTGGGCTCCTGCTGAGGCTGTAAGTGGCTGCTCCTGTGTATCCTCTTACCTTGTTTTCCATCTGCAAAGTGTGGGGAGAGAATTTCAAGTTGTCTTTCTGTGTTTCCCCCTTTTTTCAACTCATCTTTAAAAAGCCACAAAGAAAAAAAGTCTCAGCCACTATGTTGGTTTAATTTCCAGATTAAAGTGTATTTTTCATTTTGCACATATCTGTCCAAAATTGTTGCTGAAATTTCATAATGAGAGCAATGCTTCAGCTGCCCAAAATGCCAAAAGTGTTAGAGAAACTTCCTGGGAAAATGTTCACAACTTTCACACAGCACTAAAGTCTGTGTATTGTGTAAAGTGCAAGTATCTTCATTGTTAAATATTAATTTTCCTCAAAGAAATGCTGTAAATGTAATAAGTGATATGTTTAGATGGCTAAACTTTTGAGTGTAAAACTTAAGAATGGCAGCTGCATAACATTTCCAGGCAGCTGGAATTCAATTCTACATACAGTATTAAGCAAATGTTTCTAGAGAAGAGCAAACATCTGGAAGACAGATATTCATGGGCTGTGGTTTTGAGCAATCTGAAACCACGATGTCTTAACATTTGAATACATTTTAGAATGGTCAGGTTTCAGCTACTACCACTAACTGCAGTAAGTGTTTTGTCCTGTTTGAACTGTTGACAAGGGAGACTGGGAGCTCTATATGGGTGGTGAGCACAGCACCAGTTCTGCTGCTGCAGATACCTTATAGGAAATAATTTTATTTAGAGCAAATTGTATTCTAGATTAAACTTTTCATAGTTCTTTTATTCCCTCTGACTAAGGATATTTGCAAGGAAACCAGACCTTTGAATCAACTGCTCCTGCTGGAGGCAGTACCCACTCACTTTCACAACAAATTGTGATGTCATAAATACAGGATTTATGACTAGATGTGAAGAAAAGTAGCAGGCGCAGATGAACAAAAATAATTTTTCATATAACCATGGATGTCTTAGAGATATAGAATGTGGAAATTAATATACAGAAATTATATGATTTAGGAGCAGAATCATTTCTTGATAAAACAATATTTTAAGTACTCCATGATGTATTAGTTACTTTTAATAAGATTGTAGAATGATGGATCTGGGAAAAATTCCAGAGCAACACATTCATTTATTCTTCATTCCTGCATTTTAATGGTAACTATATTTTGAAATACTGGATTGATGGTATGATTTATTTTTCTTCACCCTGGCTCTTACATTGATTTTTGCACCAGCACTGGGCAGGTCAGTTTTTTAAACCTAGTGTTCTGTGTCTGTGCAGAAAAATGTAAATATATACGCAGAGACAAACATTATATGTACTGTTATAGATGGTAGCTATAGGACATGGTTCTCTGTCTTCAGTGTTTAAAATTAATGCATTTGCCACTGTTTTGTCTGTGAAGTCTAGAAGATACTTCTCTGCTTTACAGTTGTGCTGTAAGGATTAATGAATTTTATAAAGTGCTTTTTGAAGCCTTACCTGCTACTATATAGAAGTGTATGCAGTTTAATTGTACTGAATATTTTTCAGTTGGTGGTGTTTCTAGTTATGCCAGTTAAGCCCACATGTGTTTTAAACTGTTGCAAGCCATCATTTCTTCACTTTTCAATATTCTGCTTTATGTTTTGTTTTGTCCTCAGCCCTCCTCTAATTCAGATGATAAGCAGCTGTGCACATGGAGCCTGAAGGTGACACCTGTTGATTACCTGTTGGGTGTAGCTGATTTAACAGGAGAGCTGATGCGGATGTGCATTAACAGTGTTGGAAATGGTGATATAGACACCCCTTTTGAACTGAGCCAGTTTTTGCGTCAGATTTATGATGGCTTTTCCTACATTGGCAACACTGGACCCTACGAAGTGTCTAAAAAATTATATACCTTGAAGCAGAGTCTGGCCAAAGTAGAGAACGCCTGCTATACTTTAAAAGTGAGAGGTTCTGAAATCCCAAAGCACATGCTTGCTGATGTGTTCTCCACCAAATCAGAAATGATTGACCGAGAAGAGGGTCTTTCCTAAAACACTGAGACAATCATGACCTTGATGGGGCCTGGGCTGTACAGTTGAAAGCATGTTAATATTTTGGGTTTGTTTTCAATAAACCCTCATCATGGCTTTTATGTAGTGATGTTTTTAGTTTTACTTAGCAGAGCAAAGGTAAAATTTCAACCAAAAAAAGAAAAACCCTTTAAAATAATGTATAGTGAACCAGTGCTTGTATCTGTCTTCTCTGTGGGCAGTCTGTTTTCTTCTACTTCATGTGCTGTCATAATGACCAAATGCTGTACTCAGTGCTGGTTGTCTTTCAGTGAAATTAACTCACTTCAAACTGCCTTACTATTGCCTCAGTTTTCAGAGATCACAGGATGTTTGGAGTAAGCTGTGAATAAATTTTTGTAATTCTACATTACCTACAAATTTCTCTTGGGCCCTACACCTTAGTGTGGCCTGTTTTTGTGTACCTTTATCATATCTAAAGTAGTGAACCATGTCAGAATGGGGATCCTAAAGACCTGGAGAAGCAGCAGTGTCTTGGTTTAATCAGAGCAAAATACGGCGAGTCTCCCAGCATATAAATCTACTGTTGTCTTTGATCTATTAGATTATTTGGATCAAAATGTGTAATAGGCCCATTTGAGCATACTTGTCTGATGCTGGATCACCATTGTTTAATTTTGTATCTGCTTAACTCAAATGTTTGTCTCAATGGAGCTGAAATTGAGGCAGAGCCAAAGGTACAGTGTAATCTGTAGTTTGGTCTGAATATTTTTGCACATGAAACTGAAATTAAAGTTTCCTGCTCATTGACTTCTAACACCTGCTAAATATTACTGTATACCGTCTATTCCAGCGCTCAGAGCTTTATTTTAGCTCTGCCCGTTCAGATTTCTTGTTGCCTTATTGATTTGGCATCCGTTGGAAAATGCTTCAAAAATTAAATGCATTGTTTTAAATTTAAAGAATAAAAGCTTTAACTGAAGAATCATAGTGTGCTGGCCAGACCTGTTCCTGGACAAGTGCAGAAACCCAGCCAAACAAGTTTAACATTGATAATTCAGCACTAGGACTGATTGTATTGTTGGACGCTGGTTGCATGCTTGTCACTGAAGAGGGATCCGAGTTAAGTCAATGGATAGAATTTTGCCCTCCTTTTTATTTGTGGAACCTCCAGGGACTCCAATGGAGTTGAACTGGTGTTACTAAAGAAAGTATTTGGTCCAGTGTATTTGACTGAGAGGTGACTTATCCCTTTGAAATGTGTTGCCTTGTGTGTCTTAATACGCTTATGAAATATAAATTGCAATAAAAATAAGGCAGACAGGCAAATTCCCTGCATTTATTTGGCATTCTTGAGATCATTGGCAGATAATCTGATTTCTCCACTTGTGTCCAAAGTTGCAAAAGCTCCTTGAAAATATTATCCGGGGGGGAAACAGTAAATATTATACAATTTTTAAAAAAATTATAAAAATATTTCTGGAAATAGACCCCTTAAGCACAAATGAAAACACTGTGGCTATGTCTACACTGGTGGTTTCTTGCGCAAGAATATCTTGAGCTAGGGTTCTTGTGCAAGAAGTCTTGCGCAAGAAAATGTCCACACTGCCATGTGTGAGCTGTGCTTTTGCACAAGAGTGTCCATGGCAGTGTAGACGCTCTCTTGTGCAAGAAAGCTCGGATGGCCATTTTAGCCATAGGGCTTTCTTGCGCAAGAAATCCCTGCCAATCGTCCACGCTGCCCTCTTGCGCAGGAGCTCCTGTGCAAGAGGGCTTACACCTGTTAAAAAAGAGCATAGCTCTTGTGCAAGAAGCCCTCTCCTACCACGCTATCCTGTAAATTTCCTTGTGCAAGAGCGGGTGGGCAGTGTGGATGCTCTGCGGATTCTTGCTCAAGAATGGCCATACTTGCGCAAGAAGCTGCGGGTGTAGACATAGCCAACATGTTTTTATTGTCCACTTCCATATGATGTAGTTCTTCCATATTTATCCCATTAGCAATCCTAGTTAACTTGGGTTATCTGAGATATGACCAGAACAACAATTACTTACAGTGTGTAGCACAATTTTTTTCCCATTGTTTTTCCATGTAAAGCAATATTCAGTGATTTTAAAAAGGAGTGTTTTTCCAGTTGTTTAATACCTTTTAAAACACTTTTTTCCACAATAAAATCATTCAAAAGTTATTGCTGAACGAATAGTAGTTCTTTTATCTATCCATCCTATTTGAGAATATTTGATGAATAACAGCTGAATGTTCTTGGTTATATGCATTCAATTCTTATAGTTCAGTGCTTTATTCAAAGGTCTGACTCATTCCCCATACTGTACCTGATGATTGGCACCCACCAATACATCATTGTTTCTCCCCCATTAAATTTACTCTATTAATTAAAAATAGTAGTGCAATTATGACTCCTTCGGTGCATAATCAAATGCAGGGCACTTGAAGAAATTGGCACTGATGGCAAGACAAGTTTATTCCTGGGATGAAAAGACAACAATACCAAGTTTCTGTTCCATCTGCTTTGGTTTTGCGACACCTTTTGTGTCTGCAGCCTGATTTTTCAGCTGTGCTGAGCACCTAGAGTTTCAGTTGAAGCTGATGAGAGTATGTTACTGTGCATTTTGGGAGCAGAGAACTGACAACTCAAACTTGCAGTAAGATGTACTTGTCTGAAGCAAAACCATGAAGAAATAATGGCTAGAGACACTCTGAGATGTTAAACAGAGGTCTCTTCTGTCTGTCCTGGCAGCTATGAGGTGTGAGTTAAAAATTCCATGGCTCTTTTTAAACAGACAATGAGATGAACCCGGCTGCCCTGGCAGTGTTTCCTTCTTTCAGTAAGATTCTAAAGCCCAAGCTGCTGCATTTACCATTGATGAGCGCATAATAGCTACCATACTTCTCAGAACAGCCACTGGACTGGTACCGTGTCTCATTTCTTTTAAAGCACTTTGGAAACTTTAAATATGAAAGAATCAGTTTTTCTCTTGTCACAATCTCTAAGAACACTTACATGCTCTGATGAATATTATATATTGGCTTTAATAATTTTGAGATTGGAATAAACTTTTGACATGGCTACAGAAGATAATTTTTTGTAAATGATGTCTAACATGATTTTTAAGCCTCTTAGGGACCCTGCTGTTTGGCAAATCAAAGCCATGAGTAATCTTTAGTGGAAACAAAGTGTGCGTGGTGTATTAAAGCACCATGACAGATGGGAAATAGCTAATGGTTTGCAAACCTCTTGCTCAAGGAAATATTTTTTTCTCCAAAAACAATTGCACTATAGTTGTTTGAAAAATGACAGACATTTGTCAACAAAACAAGCTGCTAAACAAGCAATGGCAGTTTTCCCATTTTTTATCCTATTACTCTGTGGAACCATTGATATATCTGGTATTGAGCCAGAACAAGGTGACATCATAGCAGATGTTTTATGAAGGCTGCCTTGCGTACTAAAATCCTCTGCCTTTTTGAAATCCTCTTTTTCAGAGAAGTCAGTTTCCTTTTTGGAATCACATTTGTACAGAAACTACTCATTTTCAATGGGGAAAATAAACCCATCCATAATTTAGCTCTCCTTGTCTGCCAGTGAAATTATGTAAGAGATCAGCTGACAGAATATTATTTCAACTTACTACCTTACTTTGATTTTTGCACAAGGTGTATAATAATCACATTTAAAACTTGGTATCTATACTGTGCCCAAAATGTACATAGTGCTTTATGGAATATAGAGCAGATCTGGCCTTTGCCCCTAGGAGTTTACAACCTAAGATTAGACAAAACAGAGCAAGGGAGATGGTAAGTAGAAGGGAGGAGATGGAGAGGAAGGTAAGATGTGGATTATATCAAAAGAAAGTGGTTGCTTGGTTTGGTGCTCGCCAGATACTGAAAGGAAGCTTTAAAGTTTTTAAACATGTAAAGAATTACAGTAACTGTTCTGTTGGGATAGAGAAGATTAACAAAAGAGGAGAAAGAGATGGTGTTTGTGGGAGGGAAGTGGAGTGTAAAAGGACATGAAGGCAGGAGGACTGTGGGGAAGAGTAGCCGAGGATGAAAATATCAAGGAAGATCGGGGAGGTGCAAAATGATCTGGATACGTCTGTGAGAGGTGAGATTATGGGAGGGTTGTGTGGGTCAGGAGTGCCCTGCAGGAAATGAGACAAATTTTAAACCAGATGATTTTATTCAGTAAAAGATAAGGGAATCAATTGAAAGAAGGAAAAGGCTGATTTCCATCTGGCCACCTCCAGGCTTATGTCTAAAGTTGGACAGCTGGTTTCATAAGGTGCTGCCTTGTTCCTGGAGCTAATAGGAAATGCACAAATGGAGCAGCACTTGCAAGATTACTCCTCTGCCAAAAACTAACAAAACTTACTTTTCTGTTTTTATTTACATACACAACCTGGAAGGGAGTGGGGTGGGGTGGGGAATGATCCTAATTCACGATTTTAGCAAAGTGCAAAGGGAGCTGCACTGTCTTCCTGAGCCACCTGCTAGGATAGTCCCATGAGTCAGTCATGTCCATCCTAGCTGAAACATCTCAATCATTTCTATCCTTGCTGAAACATCTCAGTGCATGAACATGTCTCTTCCAAAGCTGTCAGAAGCAGAGATCTGTTGGGCTCTGAATGCAGGTTCGCTTTGCTTATGCCTCTTTTGAGAAATGCTACTGAAACTGGTTGATCTGGGTGGACTTCTGTTTTGTTCAGTATCCTATAACTGTTGTACCATGTGTCTAGAAAAGTTGATAGAGGTGATATTTCTTGGTTATTTTTAGGTTTATAATCTTCACAAGCCAAAGTAAAGTTTAACAAGCATGGAGCATTTTTCTAGTTTAGGAGAGTGTTATTCAGGATCACCCTTTCTCACCAATTTACCCTCTTTTTAGCCAACTTAACGTCACTTTTAAAGGCTTGTCTCTATGGAACCTAACAGTGGAGCATTTGTCTATAACTTCTTCTGGAACTAGTCAATGCCTCCCTGATTATGGGCCAGAAGTGATATGTAATGTGTCTTCTCCCAGTTCATCCCATTGGATAGCAGGCTGAGATTCTGATGCTATTGTGCCTTGCCTCTAGTCTCTGCAGTCTGAACTCTGAGTCCCTGCCATTAGTTTTCTAAAACCAGCTTCTAATATATTTTTAGTGTACCTTCTTCAGTTTCCCTCTTATAATCACACTTGCCCCTCATTATGCCCCTCATTATTTAAATAAAGGGGTTTCTGTCACAAAGGATCCACCCTTTGTTACTGAACAAGATCAGACAGCCCATCAAGCCCAATTTCCTGTGTTG